TATAGATAAAATCTTTTGTTTGTTTATTAATTAGTCTATTAGTTTACGCCAAATGCCATCTACATGAACATGCGATAAATTCTTTAAAACAAAAAAATTAGTTGAGAAATGTTTACGGTACTTACTTTTCATAATAAAAAAACGTTATATTAATTCAGTTGTTTTTTTCGGCTATGGAAGTTTTTTTAACCATTTTAACTTTTGTGGGAGCTGATGAAATGAAAAACAGAAATAGTGAAAATTAACATTATTAATTTATTGTAGTTAATATAGTGTTTGAACCATAATATAATGTGGAAATAAAGTATAGGCATCCAATTGTCAAAGTTAGGTTAGTGGAAAGTTGAAAACGTTTAAGTCAAATATAAAAAAACCTTAAGACATAATATAGCACATTCAATAATTCATTTAAATTCTTAAAAGTGTTTATTTTCATTATATATTTTTTTAAAGGAATAGACACTCACTAAGTTGGTGTAATATTTATTTGCAGCCTACGTTTCGACATACGTTGCAGAGCTACGTTAGGGGAGGGGAAAGAAAAAGATACAAAAGAATTATCTTCTAATTGGTACAAGTCACTAGCGGATCCAGGATTTCATTTTGGGGGAGGCTTCATCTCGAAAAAAATTGTTTTCATAAAAATAACAATAATTACTTTGGATAAAAAAAAAAAAAAAAACTAACTACATACTAAGACCATCCTATATGAAATGGTGTTTAAGTGATTTCTAAAGTCCTTTTAAATGTAATTACACGAGCAATAATGCTTTAAGAAATGCATTATGCAAGACCAAGACCAAGGCCGTTCAACTGTTGCAAGACAAAGACCAGCACTGGTAAAAAAAAAAATGATTTTTTAAATAAAAATTAAGGCAAAATAGTTATTAACACTTGACGATCTTAGTTACTATATGTTAATAATTGGTTAATAACCAATATAATTTTGCATTTAATTCCTCTAATTTTTCATTCCGGCTTAGTTAGGTTTCTCCTATCTAAAAAAATACAGTAATATCTCTATAGCAATAAGCTAATACGTAAATGCAAGGCTGTTGCGAGACTCTTCCGCAAGACCAAGACCATGACCAAGACTGAGTTTGCAAGACCAAGACTCGTCTCGGTCTCGCATTTGGGCAACACTAATGATAAGCAACAATAATGAACAATTTTAATATTTGTATTATACAGGGTGTCTCAATTCTTAGTGGTCAAACTCTGGGGGTTCATTCTAGTCAAAATTTCCAATAAATAAGTTCATTTGATGCATGGGCCGATTCCGATCCGAAAAGAACTTAAGGTCAATTTAGTGTTTCTTTTAAGGTGGTCACGGTTTTTATTGAATAAGAAGGAGTTGCTTAAAAATTGTTTAAGATAATTAAATTCTAAGTACACCATCGTAAAGTATACAAGTTTTTTTTTTGAGAAAAGAGTGATTAAATTTAATAAGATCAATGATAAAAGGAACTTTCAGGAGGTCTTAGAACGCAAAGCTTAGCGTTATGAAGAATTATTTCACGAATAGTGAATACAGAGATATGCTGGTCGGTAGGGTTACTGTAACTGCAGCAAAACAGCGGCCATATTAGACCTCCTAAATGTCCCTTTTATCATTGAGCTTAGTAAATTTAATCACTGTTTTATATTAAAAAAAAAAAAATCATCTACTTTACGATGGTGTACTTAGAATTTAATTATCTTGAACAATTTTTGAACAATTCCTTCTTATTCAATAAAAACCGTGGCCACCTTAAAAGAAACACAAAATTGGTCTTAAGTCCTTTTCCGATCGGAATCGGTCCATGTATCAAACGAACTTATTTATGGGAAATTTTGTCTAAAATCATCCCCCAGAGATGGAAATTAAGATCTGAGACACCCTGTATACAGTTATGTTATATATAATTGCTTACCGTTTGCATTTTAAGTTATGTTGTCGTTTACTTTACTCAGTCTACATTCATTTCATTTACTATTTGTCATTTGTCACCTTCTAAAATAAATCTATAACTTGTATCGGATATATCAAACCAATTTAACACCAACTCTTATTTTATTTAAGTCCGATAACTTAGGTCGAAACGTAGGCTATAAATAAATACTACACCAACATAGTCTGTGATTGTTGTCCGCAACCGACTTTCTATTCATTAAATTAGAACTACTGATAATTATATCTTTTTTCAATAAGGTTTTTTTTTTAATTAATGGAGATAAATTACTTCTTTTTTTTTTTAATTTAACTTAATTTGAGTTCTACCAATGGGTAGTTTCTCTTCATGTTGTACATGTCATGTTACCAATGTCACATTTACTTGTTGTATTTTCTATGTAATACAGTTGTAAATTTCATTAAAAAAAAAAAAAAAAATTAACTTAAATGTATTCCAGTCTGAAACGACAAGAAACCGCTCGACGTTTCCGATTTCTTCAGCACTTACTAGACAAACGCTCTAAACTTCCAATTAATTACAAAAACTCATATACATGACTATGATAAGGCCTAATTGGACTTATGGAGTTGAGCTATGGGGCTCCACTAAACCATCAAATTCCTCTCGTATCCAATCCTTACAATATAAAATCCTTCGTAAAATCCTTAATGCTTCCTACTTTGTTACCAATAAAACCATCCATAATGACCTTAATGCTTCTTATGCTTCAGAACTGGCCCAATCCAGATACCTATTCTTCCATAATAAACTTCAGAATCAGCCCAACCCTCTCATTTCTCTAACCTTGCGTCCTCTTCAATTCCTGATAACCCTCCGAGGCGTCTGAACAGAAGATGGCTCCGTGATCTTCTAATGTAGGCATATCATTAGAGTGTTACTATTGTGTAGTTTCTCAACAAGTGTTTTCACGTCATTAAATCCATATGTTCAAATTTACTTTATGTATTTCTTTAATAAAGTTGTAAATATCATTAGGAAAAAAGAAAAAAAAAAACTTAAATATAATTTAATCATTTAAAAAAAAAAAAATGGAACCAATGAAAATCATATTAATTTGTTTTGTTTAATCTAGATACTTCATTGAATACTTGCAAAAAAAAAATCTTATGCACATATTGAAACATATAAATAATTAATCACAACTTGCTTGATTACTATTAGTCATATAAATTCAAGATTTATTTGTTTTCCCTGTTAAAGTAATGTGGGAATCACATTTTCCTATAGATTACTTAATGGTGAACTCACCTTAATGGAATTCGATTTCAGTAAGTTCGGTAAAAAAAATAATAATAATAATAAATATATATATTAAATTTAATGTACTATCTCACACGTTTTATTTCATTATTAAAAATTCTTTTAACGAGAAATTTCATTTTGTCCATATTATAACGTTTCAGATCCAATAACCATCTACAAACATTTAAAAAAACAATAGTCATAAAGCAGTCCTCATTTTTTTTTAATAGTTTACTACTCTATTGTAGTAATTATTTAATTAAAATTATAATTTTTTTGTTGTTTTCATATTTTTTCTGTGTCTGTAATTTCTTTATCTTGTGGGTCCCTCATCATTTTGTTAAAAACAACTTTCCTGTAAATAAATAAATAAACTATCTATAATTTCTAATTTATAAACAACTCATATAGAAATTATAATTTTATTAAAAATCTTGTTTTTGGGGGCAAAATTTATTTTATAAATCATAGAAATGGCTTGTAAAAAAAAAAAAACTTAACCTCATTTTCATCGATTTTCACTCTTAGTTTTATTTTTCTTCACAAAATATCTGTTATCCCTTATATTAAGTTTTATTTTGTTTACTTGTTTTTAAGGAAAAAAAAAACATTCTCAGCTTTTTTACAAGTTCTGAATAGTTTTGGTTTATGTCTCTTTTAAAGTTTTTATTAATTTATAATATTCTTTTCTTTCTATAAATGTATTTTTTTTTAAGCTTTATTATAATTTTGACAATTTCCGCCTTATTATCTTCTTGTTTATCTTCCTCTTATGCCATTCGCTAGCGTCGAGGAGCCTCAATCCAGCGTAAGCACTCTTCCCGGTCCCTGCTTAGCCGCTTCATCTCATTGAGGGTTTTGCCTCTTGCCTTATTATAAAAGGGGGATAATGTTCAGTTGTTTTTATTACACATATTATTAATTATAGTTTTTATTTCAGATTGACTGTAGAGTAGGTAGATAGGTCGGCCACAGGCGGATTTGCGCTGGGAGGGGAAGATTTTTTGGCTGAAGCCCATCAGAATAGGAAAATATAACCACGTTTTATGAAATAAATTATCTCTAAGAGTATTATTGTTGGTCTAATTACATTTAATAGGATTAATTTCATTTAGGTACTTAGTTTCTTTCTTTCTTTCTAAGTAATTATCGTAATATATACATAAAAAAAAAATCTTTCGGGCTGAAATCCCCCCAAATTTATTTCCTGGATCCGTTAGTGATGACGACATACTGACGGACGGTACAGAATTTGTGAGACTCAGTCCTCTGGGATTCGACCCACGTGTGCCTTTGTGTTGTGACCTTAATTGACGGTGTGTGCGGGAAGGAATATGGCTGCCTCAGTTCCTCATTGGACAACTTTCTCCGTTTCCTCTTCGGCGATTGGCTCGCCGACCTTCGGATAGGTCCTCACCTAGCAACACCGCATTCGTCCTTTGAATTTCGAATTTGAATGATGTGAATTTCGTTTGTTGGTGAAATTGAACAGCCATCTTTGGAGTATTAATTCGTATTTTCTAACCCACTGGATGGCTTGAGGCAAGACTACCATTATTCATTGAGACACGAATAATCTAGTTATTGATATCTTTCACTAAACATATACGTAACAAAATTATAAATACAGTAATGAATACCATCGCGGAAGTTAAGTTTCAGGAAAATGAGGCCAATTCCTTTTATATTTACTGTTACATTATATGATGATCAACAAGGACAGATTTCATTTAAAGGGAAGTTTTTAAAATTATTTTTAATCTCTATATCAGGAGGAATGAATTAACATGGACCAGGCAGTTTATGGATTGGTATCCAAGAGAGCACGTGAGGAAGAGAGGAAGCCCGCCGACAGACTGGGACAAGGAGATGAAGAAGACCTGCAAGGGAGCAGCCTGGAAGAGAGTAGCATTGGAAAGGAAAGAGTGGAAACGGATGGGACAGGTTCATTACCTAGTGTGGTTGCAAGAGAGCTAGAAAAGATAAGGAGAAAAAAAAAAAAAAAAAAGAAAATCGAACTCCAAATCTCAACTAAAATATTAATTTTGTACATATGTCAAGTATAAATCAAAATGTAAAGATTTTGTATGTATCTATTTTGTATCCATTGTTTTTTGCATTGTATATGCAAATAAAGGTTATTATTATTATTGTTATATCTCTATATGTAAACGAAAGATAAAACACTCACTTACTAATTAAATGAACACTGGACCTCAAAAATGACAATATCTATGAAGCTTAATTTTTTTAAGTTAATTCAAATTAATTTTTTTGTGATATAATACTCATTAAACAAATGATTATTAAAATTATGTCACCTTCTTAGTTTCATTTTTTTTCTTTAACTGACTATGTTTAATTATAGGAATAAAACTGCAATGGCAGAGGGTTTGAACATTTCATACGAAATTCACAAATATGTGATTGCTTAATATGTGATTGTAGATTTTTTAAAATATTTATTTCAGATTCGACATACCCTTTAACAACAGGCTCTGCGTAGAAATTAATCGTACCCGAGAGTAGAAAAAAATCAAATACTTCGGTTTCACAATAAACTCAATGAATAATCAACGGTCAGAAATAGAATAACATATAGCAATAGCAAACAGGGCATTATTTCTTTTTAAAAGGTATTGAATTTTTTTTATTAAATTAACTCAAGAGCTTATTTAAAGAAACGAAATTTTGGCACCCCTTCATTCACCTACTGGCACTTACCCCCAATAAAAATAAACATTTTGTGACAATATTATAGGTAATATAGAATATTTAATAGTTGACCGTTGCATTATAAAGGAAGAAGATGGTCCGGGGTTGTGGTCATAAATAGGCTAAATAGTGGTACAACTATTTTATTGAAAGCCAACGTTTCGACCCGTCTTTGCGGGTCTTCTTCAGGGAGGTGTGTTCATCTAGGAGTTTCACTTAGAACTGAAGTGAAACTCCTGTAGTTCTTAGTGAAACTCCTAGATGAACACTCCTCCCTGATGAAGACCTGCAAAGTCGAGTCGAAACGTTGGCTTTCAATAAAATAGTTTTACCACTATTTAGCCTATTTATGATCTCCACCCCGGACCATCTCCTTCCTTTATAGGTAATATATTTCGAAATAAATATCATCATAACGTTAACTTATCCTATTGACTAAATTAAAATTTAATCAACCAAAAAAGCAAAAACAAACATATTTTATATAAGACAAAATAAAAAAAAAATAGGTCGTAATTTGCCGCCCTTTAAATTCTGCCTTTCCGGGCAATTGTCCCCTATGCCCCCCCTTCGTTCCGGCCCTGCTTTTTATTTGATTGAGTTGTTGATACAGGCTGGGAGAAGCATGTGTGTGCTGTGAAGGGTGAAACCTGATAAAACGAGCCCATTGTTCTGCAGAAAGCTGTCCTAATTGCCCTTAATTCTCTTAATGACCTTTTACCGACTTGCTTTTTAACCATTTTTTAAAAATAATTATATGCTTATTGTTGTGTGTTTCTTTTATTTACACTTGTATCAAATAAAAAAAAAAACTTATTTAGGAAGTACAGCTCAAAAGTATTGTGAAATACTTTATTGAATATAATGGTTCTAGGAATAATCATATCAACAAATATAAGGCGTGACTAACACATTTGTAAATAATTCTCAGCTGCTTATCCATATTTCATATCCACTCTGTTTCAGTTAAAACTAGAAACAGCCAAGGGGTCGAAGAATGCCATGTGTCAAAACAGAACCCTCTTCCACAGTTATTGGCATATGTGGAGAAGGAGCAAAAAATTCGGTCATTCCATGGGGCAGGTTTATGTTTGAAGTATTTGGATTTGAGAATGAAATGTAACATGTGGTGTCAGATTTATGAAGCTTATATACAGGGAGACTCAGTTTTTAATGGCCAATGTTTAGGAAGTGATTCTAGACAAAATTTCCAACGAAAAATTTCAGTTGATCTATGGGATTTCTGACGGAAATGAAGACCAAGTCCAATTTTATTTTTTCTTAAGGTGGTCATGTTTTCTCTTTCATTGTAAGCGATAAGACATACATTATTTAATTCAGTTAATTAGAAATTGCTTCATAGTAAACTAGACTAAATTATGTTGAAATACAAGTAGAGTTTGTGTTTGTCAAAACCAATTAAAGAGGGGTTTTGATCGGCCAAACTACGATAAGTTGTGTTTTTCATTACATCATGGACTATTAATCCTGCCCCAGTCCAATGGTGTTCCTCAAGTTAGTATCCTAGGCCCTATCCTCTATACAGTTTATACAGCTGACATCCCTACCTATCCCAACACTGCCATCACCACATATGCCGATGACACATGTATCCTATTAGTAAATAATGACCCAGCAATTGCATCCCAAATGCTTCAGTCACACATCATAAATCTAGAAGAATGGTGTCGAAACTGGAGAATTAAAATAAACTCCAATAAATCCCACCAAATTACCTTTACCCTTCGTCGTAATCCAACAACTTCCTGTCCTACAGTTTCCTTTAAAAATACTCCACTTATCCCTGTTGAGCAAATCCGATACCTAGGACTCCACCTGGACAAACGACTAACTTGGAGTCCTCATACTAGACTGAAACGACAAGAAACCGCTCGACGTTTCCGATTACTTCAGCACTTACTAGACAAACGTTCTAATCTTCCAATTAATTACAAAAGACTCATATACTTGACTATAATAAGGCCTATTTGGACTTACGGAGTTGAGCTATGGGGCTCCACTAAACCATCGAATTCCTCTCATATCCAATCCTCAAAATCCAAAATCCTTCGTAAAATCCTCAATGCTCCCTACTTTGTTATCAATAAAACCATCCATAATGACCTTAATGTTCCTTTTGTTTCAGATCTGGCCCAATCCAGATACCTATCCTTCCATAATAAACTTCAGAATCAGCCCAAACCTCACGTTTCTAACCTTGCTTCCTCTTCAATTCCTGATAACCCTCCGAGGCGTCTGAAAAGAAGATGGCCACGTGATCTTCTAATGTGCTACCATTGGGTAGTTACTCAACAAGTGTTTTTCATGTCATTATATACATTATGTTCTAATTTACTAGATGTATTTATTTAATACAGTTGTAAATGTCTTTAGGAAATAAAAAAATAAATAAATAAATAATCCTGGAGCCCGTGGCAAAAAAGGTGTCATATTTCATACTAAGTTTTTTTCTTATAAATTGACCATGGCCTGATGAGAAAATGCACGCATGTGAAGAGACATGGATTACAAGTCGAAGAATTGAATTTACGATTCAAAATGTTTACTTTTTTCAGTTTCTCGCTTATATAGCATTTCCAAGTCAATTTCAACCTTTTCCAAGTCAAATTCAACCTTTTCCAAATCAAATTAAACTTTTTCCAAGTCAAATTCAACCTTTTCCATTTCAAATTAAACCTTTTCCATTTCAAATTCAACCTTTTTTTTATTTATTTAATTATCTTTAATTTTTCGATGCGTGGGTCTTATCGTATGAGTAGTTTTTTAAAATGACCTCCTTTTTAAGATCACGTGACTGCGTTTCGAATTATTTAAGTTTTTTTGACTTATTCGATATAAGGGTGTATTTTTATGTTTCCCGATCAGTAAATTTTTAAAATGACATCTATTTTATGTTTACGCCACTGTGTTTTGATTTATTTAAGTTTTTAGAATTTATTCAATATAAAGGTCTACTTTTTTGTTTCCGGAGCCGTAGATTTTGAAAACGACCTCCATTTTAAGATTAGGCCACCGCGTTTCGACTTATTTGAGTTTTTCGGATATTTTTCATAAAAGAGTGTATTTTTATGTTTCCGGAGCTGTAGATTTTGAAAATGACCTCCATTTTTAAAATTAGGCCACCGCGTTTCGACTTATTTGAGTTTTTCGGATATTTTTCATATGAGGGTGTATTTTTATGTTTCCAGAGCTGTAGATTTTGAAAATGACCTCCATTTTATGATTACGCCACTGCGTTTTGACTTATTTAAGTTTTTCGAATTTATCCAATATTAAGGTCTACTTTTATGTTTCTTGAGCCGTAGATTTTGAAAATGACATCCATTCAATGATGACGCCATTGCATTTTGACTTATTTAAGTTTTTCGAATTTATCCAATTTAAAGGTCTACTTTTATGTTTTCGGAACCGTAGATTCTGAAAATGACCTCTATTTTATGATTACGCAACTGCGTTTCAACTTATTTAAATTTTTAGAATTTAACAAGTATAAAGGTCTAATTTTATGTTTCTGGAGCAGTAGATTTCCCCCATTTTGTAAATGACCCAATTTAAAGTTTATTCCACTGTTTTGGATTATAAAAGTTTTTTTTTTACTTTTTCGGTATAAGGATCTTATATCTACTTATATGTTATCCGAGACGTATTGAAATTTTTCTAATCTTTAATATTTAAATTTATCTAATATTTAAGCTCCATTTTATGATTAAGCCGCTGCATCTTGATTAATTAGGCTTCATTTTGGATTTTTTCAATACAAAGTTTCATCAATATGTTTTCGAGTATGAATAAATAAATAAATATTATGAAGCTAAAGTAAAATTAACCACAGAATACAAACTAAAAAGCCGAAAAGCAACTGGTAATAAATTTAACCTTCCGTATTCAGATTTTTCAGCTAATTGTTCGAAATCTTATAATTTTGTGATAGGAGACCACAAAATTAAAAAAGATAACTAAAATTAAATTAAAAATGAGACAATACATATTTTATTTATTTTGATTAGATATTTTTATTTATTTATTGAAAAATAAATTAATCCTTCGTACTATGTTTTTTATTCGAAGGAAAAAGCAAAAACACTTAACAAAACCGAAACACAGTGGCCTAATCTTAAAATGTAAGTCGTTTTAAAAACTAAGGCTCCGGCATCATAAAAGTAGACCTTTAAATTGGATAAATTCGAAAAACTTGAATAAGCCGAAAC